TAATGTAGCATGTCAAATATGTGGTAAGAAAAACCATATTGCACTTAAATTTTGGCACGAGTTTAATTAGTCTTTTGCTCCAAGTGATATTCCTCTGGCTCTTGCAGCTATTATAAAACCCGAAAAAATTAAACTTTTCTTAAAAAAGGCAAAACGGTAATTAGTCGTTACGATATAGGTTAAAAATCTATTTTTTTCTAGAAATATGATGACGAAACGGACCTCACTGTTGGATTCGTCTCATGAAATCTAGTTACCTAATCAATTTCGTCGAATTTTGAGACAGTCAGATTTTTCATGTTTTACTAGACGATCGAATTTTTGCGGAACCCGAAAAATAATTTAAAGTTAGTTCAATAAAAAAATACAATAAAATTAAAACAAGATGAAATTTAATTGATTCGTGATAAAATTAGACCAAACGAAATGAAACGTGTTGCAGGACCAGGAGCAAGCGTTGAGATGTATAAAAAGGGGAAGAAAAGTTGATTTTCTTCCCCATTTTCTTCATTGCATTCCAGATATTAGAGAGAGAGAGAGAGAGAGAGAGAGAGAGAGAGAGAGAGAGAGAATCCCACCATCTCCATCTTCTTCCTTTGATCCATCAAGATCCAACTGTCAGATTACGTTGGGCCAATAACTAAAGTCATTCTATGCAACGAGACCTACAAATCCATACCAAAGATCATAAGTTTCGCTAAAATCTCAAAGATGGTATTTTTGGGATCAAGCTTGGGAGGCTTAATTTTTGGATTTAATTTGGGGCTTCTAATATACGAATATACGCTACAAGAGGTAGGGTTCCTTTGCTAATTAGATTTATTTACAACCTAGGTTTGAAATATGAAATGTGTAGGGTGTTAGAGATAAATTTTCATGTATAACACATATCTAGGATTGTTAGAATATGAAAAATGGGTATAAGAATATGTTAAAACTAATTCTTGTATGATTTGAGTTTGATGAAATTGTTTGATTTAGATTTTGTGAGGAATTTTTTGTTTGGGCGTGCTATGTGTTTACATTTGTGCCATATAGGTGTTTAATAAAATACCTATGGACTTTCAAGTGAGCTAATTGAATAGAGATTGCTATAACATGCTTAGTGATGTTATGAAATGTTATTATATGCTTTATGATATAATATACATTGAGGAAATTGGGTATGATTGTAGATAATGGATATGTTCATTATATGTCGTATGATATGATGAGCATGGAATAGAAGTTGCAATTGTACAATTTGATTGCATAATTATATGAAATGTAATTGCATATGCACATTCGTGGACATTCAACATGAGTGTGGGTGTGTGTGCAAGTTTTTGATCAAACACCATCTTTGGTGAGTTAATACACGGGCTCGGGAAAGGTAGACCAAGGTTATACTAAGTCGCATTAGTTGCATTAAAAATGTGTCGAGGTTAGTAAGAAGGGCTAGATTCTCTCTTGCATGCAAGACCCGGTAATTTTGGATACGTACTCACGTTGGTATTGATTCCATAAACTATATTTGTGTACGTAATCATTGGTGGATGTCCATAGATGTCATTTTGGTTGGGTGCCCATTGGTGAAAGTCTATAAATACCCACCTCAAGAAAGAGACAAGATTTTATAAAATGGTCATTGGATGTCTAACATCAATGGCGGGGGCTTGAAATGCCTAGATGCAAAAGCATGACATGACATGTGTTATAGGAGCCGGTGGAGGGCTCGGGTTTGCATTGTTTCTGTGGGTTTCACTTCATGACATGACATAGAATTGTAGCATTCATTTATGATATGTATGTATTTCAACAAATGTTTGATGTGATAAATTGCATGTGACATTTCATATTCATCTAGGTTGAGGAGTAACCTCCTTAGGAGATTGAGCATGACTCACCTTTTATGGGGATATATTTCAGGTGTTGGACAAGCTCTAGCAGATGGCCCTCACTTGTGACTGTGTTGAAGAAAGAGTCGAGTTGTGGCTCTTAGATTACATGTTGTAATTTAATGTGTGTGTGTCTATATCGGCCATGATTAATCATGTACAAAACTTGTATTTGATTAAGGCATGTAATAGGACATTATTCTTTTGTAAAAAAAAAAAATGAATGGAATGGGTGTTGAATGAGTTATTGGGTGAAAATTTGAATTTTTGGGAGTTTGGGGGAAATTTGGGCTCTAGGTACCGGTACCTCACAAGTACCTGGCATCCAGAGAGCTTAGGTACCGCTACATAGGCTCACAAGTATTGGTATCACTCTGTCGGGCGCCCAAGTACTGGTACCATGACTTACAGGTACCTGTACCTAGAAACCAGAGGGCTCAGGTACCAGTACCACATACCCGAGATATCGGTACTTCTTCCCAAAAATTAAAATTTTAAACGAAACATTGCGAAGCCATCACATCTTGAACTCTTCTCTTGGGATGATATAAATGAATAAATTTTAAGCCTATACTTGGGAAATTGACATTGGAATGGTCGTACGATTATTGTATGCACATGTTATGTATTGGGTAGAGCTCCCACACAAAGGAGACTCTGCCCAAATTTCGTTCTAGTTATGATCCTGGTGAATGGGGTGTAACGACGTGGTATCGAGATATATGGTACTCACGAGTATTTTCACGGGTTAATAGGTGATCGGTGGTTTGAGAAAGGACCCCCGGATTTTGGAGTGTCACAATTATGACTATCACAAATAGTCAGGATAGTGCATGGTTTCCAGATACTGGAACTTCCACCCATATGACGGGAGATTTAGGTACTTGGTTAATAAGAAACTTCTAATGGTCATGATCGTGTTATGATTGGCAATGGTCATATTTAAAATTTGTCATACTAATGATGCTCTCCTTCATAGTCAGATGGTTATGAAAAATGTTCTTTTAGTGTCAGAACTCAAGAAAAATCTTTTGTCTGTGAGTCAATTCACTTCTGATAATCCATGTTGTTTTGAGTTCTCAAATAAAGGTTTTCAGATAAATAACAGAAACCCAGAGTATCATGATCAAGGGAAATAGGATAGGGAATCTATATGCACTTGAGCACATTCAACAACAAACTTTCTTCTCCAACCGTCACCAAAGTACAAGTGAAAGGGTATGACATTGGTGACTTGGGCGTCCAAATTCAAAGGTGTTTCATTTCTTGCATAAAGGCAATTAGATTAAAATTGATAGTTGGGACAATAATAAGACTATTTGTGATAGTTGTTAGATTGGAATTGCTCTATTGAACCTATGTATGTTATTCACTCAAAGTTATGGGAGCCTTCACCTATTATTAGTTTTAGGAAGCAGTTATTGTTGTAATTAAGGTTGTTAATCTAGTCTTTTCTATAACCGAAGTCCCTTTGATTGAATTAATAAATGAATCATTTTTTATTAGTTCCCTGTACTGTGTGTTTGTCCATTAAAATTCATTCAAAGAAGTCCTGAAACAAAGTATTTGAACCCCTTACAACTAATCTCTTGAAAATGTCTATCGACTGTGTTTCTTCCATCAATAAAAACGAAAATTGGAGCAACAAGTGAATAAGGGATTCAATTCACCCTTCCCTCCGGTAAAGATGATGAGAGGCTTTGGATGTTTAGCATCACTTTTTAAGTGATTACAGAGATCAGCTCCAATTACTATGTCAAGAATCTGGCTCCTCCAGATCAAAAAATTTTTAGGGGTGAATTTCACATTCACCATAGAAGAGATTTGAGAGAGATTCTCAAGTCAGAGAGAAGATGTTACTTTGGTTGAGGTAATTGTAGGTTTTGATACCATGAAGACAATGAAAACAATTGATGGAAAACCTATTCCAAAACTGGTGACGTAAATGTTGTATATTTGCCACTTATATAAGCCTAGGGTACAAGAGTTTACAAATAATTAAAACCTTATCAAATCTAATGATCTAATCATAATACAAGGATTCGATTAACTCATTTTAGAAGTTATATGTTGGAGTAGTCATCCCTTTAATACTGTCGAATTCCATGAACTACTATAGAAGAACAATTAGCCGATGATACCATTGCAGTAGGTCTCTTAGGAGTTGATCCAATATCATCAGTAGGTCTCTTAGGAGTTAATCCAATATCATCACCAGATATATAATTCTTATCTATGCTCTCTCTAGTTGCTAGATGGGAGATGCCTCAACTCAGCGTCCCCGGTGGAGTTCCCGAATATATGTCCTCTTTTTCTCCTAAGGGGTGAATATTTACCAAGGTGGAGATGTGTTAGAGTATGTGTGACTCATATTTGCTGTGTGCATAATGGCAAGGAGGCAGATGTCAGAGTGGGTGGAGTAGAGTGAAGCGGAGCCTGCGACGGCATCTGCCTTGCGAGATTTGTATAAAGGGGACGCTGATTAGTTGGGGGTGCGGGGGCAACGCCCCGGCGGTACGGAACAGGGATATTTTTGTAAATACGTTCGTATTAGGGTTATATAAATACTTAAGATGTAACCCTACTTTAAATAATGAAAAAAAATGGCCGCTCGCTCTCGTGGAAGTAGGCACATTGCCGAACCACGTAAATCTCTGTGTGTTATTTTCTCTTCTTTCTTAATTGTTTGATTCCTTACTATTCACTATAATTGCTGCATGATCACAACAAAAACCAGGCCCGGACGTCGACCCAATAAAGAGACCGGGTCAGTGGGTTATTGGTTCAACCGTTGGGTCAATGGTCGAACCGGTTATATAATAAAAAAATAATAAATAAATATTAATAATAATAAATTTGCTAAAAAATTATAATAATTATTAAAATAGCATGTTTAATCTATATGGAGAGGTAAGGGAGACATAGGCAGGTAGAAGTGAAGGTCCTTTTTTTTTTTTGAAAAAAGAATTTTATTTCAAAAAATCCAAAATTACAAGAAACAAAACTGAAACTGTTTAAGCAAAACAGTGACAGTATAACAACTGTACAAAAAAAACAGAAAAACTGTTACAATTTTCTATTATCAACAAGGATCCTATACAGCATCTGTTTTTGCCCTTGCAGCTCAGCTCATGCACCAATTGATCCACTACTCCATCAGACCAGCTCAACAAAATTACCCTCTGATCTCAGACTCAGCAATAAAGTCCAGATCAGTGCAAAATCCCACTAAAAAGCATAACAGTGTAATGCAAATCAGAACAGGCTGCTCAGACTGCACACACCAACTGCCCAGATACCGAAGCATGCACCTGACATCTGACATCCCCTCAAATTCACAGCATACAGAACCTGATCAACATCCAGCATACACAGCATCATCTAATCCAGCATTCATCAGAACAGACTCCAATTGCAGCTCAGGACCTGCTTCACAGCTAAAACAACTGAGGAGAACTGACAGCACATAGCATCAGAACTGTCCCACTACTCTCATTAGAACAACTCTCCAACACTCACCTTAAACTAGAGTAAGGGACACCAGCCTGCCCCCTAGAACAATAGAACTGCCAATCAGGAGTTGGCTTTAATCCTTCAAAAGGATAAAATCCTTCTAAGCCAGCAACTAAACTCATAGAATCTGATGCATCAACCTCAGAGAACTCCTGCAACAGAACCCATCCCTCATCAGCTAACCATTCACCACCCAATACCTCATCAACCATGATCATCAAACAAACAGAAGTGAAGGGCCTTTTGTAGAAGGTCCTCAGTGGCAAATGACTCTTTTTTGCAGCATTGTATAGTAGTTTTTGTAACTTCAATTCAGCAAGAATAGGGCAATGGACAGTTCTCAAATCCGTCTTTTTGGTTACAGGATTCTAGATAAGTGTAATATTTGTAGCAGCTGCTTTGTATTTGTTGTATTTTATGGAAATACAGAATAATCTGATGTGTAGTTTGGGAGGAAGCGGAAGTCTTATGATCACATTCGTTTCAGGATTGCCCTTTATGTTGTATCCATCCATTTTTATTCCAAAAAAAATTAACCAAAAATCTAGAAGTATCAATTAGGGCTAAGGGCAAAAATTCTTTTTTTTTTATAGGATTTTAAAAGATCCGGCCGGTTTGAAAAAAACCGTCCGGTTTGAACGATTTGTTTAAAAACCGCCGGGTTCTAGACGGGTTTTATACAGAAACGATCTAACTCATGAACCGGCCCGGCTTAAGATCCGGTTCACCGGGTTTCTAGGTCAACCTGCCGGTTCGGGCAGGTTTTAAAACACTGGTTTACATGTCTTTTTGTCTCACCTTGTTGAAGCCTATAATAACATTAGAACAACATATCTCACAGCCAATCCAGTCTTTCATGCTATAACAAAGCACACTAAGATTGATGTCCATTTTATTTGTGAGAAAATTGCTTCAAGTGATGGATAAGACAACTAAGATGATATTCTCAACAAGGGCTTATCTTTTTTGCATTTTCAATTTATTCGATCCAAAATCTAAATTTTTGAGACCATTTAGATTGTGGAAGGATGTTAGGCTATTTATTATGTTTTAATAGACCCACAACATGGGTAGCGTTTTGTAGCGTTGTAATTGTAAACTTCTACACAATATAAATAGAATAGCCAGCTGCCAAAAGGCACGGCTCAAGTCACATGACTTTTTTGAAACAGGTCAAACTCTCACATTCTGCTCGCAAATTCACACTTTAAGAGAGAACTCATGACAAATTCGCATATGCAATTTGTTAAATTCGTGAATTCGAGAAGATAGATTACAAATTCAATATTTACGGTAAAATTGGATCACAAGCCCAAGAAAACAACTTAGAGGCCTCAGCCACTTTTGCAGTTAAGGCCCCACGCATGAGCACCGAAGAAGCAAGTGCCTAGGAGAGCCCCACTAAACCCCATTTTATAGCCTTAATTGACTGACTTTTTCTCTTGTGCTTCCTATGTGGGATCGCTATCTGACATAGAAATGCATTTCAGGTTATTGCGTTTTTGCTTTTGCTTCCATTGTTTCTTTGCCTATGAAATTTATATTTTAATTTATATATATATATAGATAGACAGATAAGTATGTATGCATAGAGCATGGCACTCTCGCTCTAAGTTTTTTTTTTTCGTTTTTGCGCTCCCGCTCCTACTCCCGCTCTCACTCTTTGTGATCTAGGGCATGACTTGCATTCTTCTATAGTCCCAAAAAAATGATTCAAGTGAACTATCAAGTGCATTGTCATTAATAGCACCATAGTAGAGCTAATCAACTAGGCCTAGTTGTCATTGATCCTTGCAATCAAAAAGTCATGGGGTCAATCATTGCTAAAGGCATACCTTGATCTCTTATATTTGCCATTGTTTAGCATTTTCTTGTTGAGATGCGAAATTTAGTCATTATGATTATGGCATCTCAAACATGATCATTACTATCTTCATCAATGGTACGATAAAAAAAGGTGGCAATGTGAGCAAAGCAAATACCTACACAATCTTTGTTACAAACAAATGTGCACATCTCCCACCTCATTTCGTCACGACTCGGTCCGGACAGGCCGGCCTTGGGCCAAAAATATATTATCGTTTGAAATACTTGGAAGCCCGTACCATTATCAAGTCTTATTTTATAAAAACTCATTTTCAAAAAACTTTTTTGATAAAAGTCCGCTTTGAATGAAAAAACCCAATTTTTATCGCTCAAAACATCAGTCTCCACTTTGAGACGATGTCCATTCCACAGAGGTAGTCAAACAGTCTCCTTTATTCACACCAAATAGTTTCCACTCTACTCCAAACACAGACACTAGTTTCATCTTCGAACGGAAAGCCATTGATTTCGCTCACACTACTCCAAACTAGATTATTAGTTCCACTGTTTTTGAAATTATTACTTTTAGAATCAAAACATAATTTTCATCAGCCTAGTAAAGAAGACAGAACCAAGGATTCCAGTTGAGGAAATTTTGATTTGACGTTTCTAACGTTGGTATTTTTCTCTCACCGCCTTTTTTCCAGCTTATTTGTCTCATCATCAACGAAAAAAGGTGAGAAATCATACTGATTTTCTTTCCTCATAAAACTCAAAATAATAATACAAAAACCCTATTTCTTTTTATGAATTGGTGATGCAATAAAACTTAGGGTTTTAGCCCTAGAATAAAAAATCCGAATCAATTTCACTACCTTCCTAAATGTCACATTGTTTTTCTGTGAATCCGAATCGAATACACTAATTCATGCATCGATAATCAACGAAGCTTGTTGCCTTTCACGTTTTCTTCTTGCCTTACTATTTTTCTATTTTATTATAAGAATCTCGGATAAATAACATTCAATCTTTTATATGCCATTATAAGAATATATTTTTGAGATGTTGCTTTTCACATTAATAACTAACTATTGCAAATATGAGAATCTAGTTGTGGAAGAGTAGTTTAATTTTGGAGAATTTATTATTTTTTGATTTGCATTTGTGGTAATATATTGAATTCACCCTTTGTTGTCACATTATTAATCCACTCTGTATTGTAACATTATTAACTCACTCTTTGGTGTCTGTTGAGCCTTCAAATTTTGTATTATTTCATCCAAACATATTCACTTTAGGCTTGCAAATGTACTAATTCATTGTACTTTGTATAGTTTGCATATTAAGCATTGATTTTAGTGTTTGCAGGTAAATTGGATGTAAATGTTGAGTTTAAGCATTGAATAGATGGCAAGAGACAAGTTGATGTTGAGTTCACTCGAGTAGAGATGAAATCGGGAGTCTTAGAAGCAAATTGGAAGCAAAGAAGAGTTTTACTGGTAGGTTTTATACCGGTAGGAAAACAGAAGAATAAAGGTTTTACCGGTCGTAAGTCAATTCTGCTGGTAGTTTGAGCTATAGAAAATTGGTGCAGAAGTCCTACTGGTAGGTGCGCTTCACATTCTACCAGTAGCAGAACTCATAGTACTTTGCATTTTTTCATCAAAGAAATTCTACCGATAGTTAAACATATTCTACTGGTAGCAAAACTTACAATACTTTTATTAGAGAAGTCCTACCGGATGTTCTACCGATAAAGGGTGTTCTACCAGTTGGTCAGGGCAGATTCTCACAGGAAGTTTAATTAAAAATCAGATCTCACCATGTCTTTTGGGGACTTCCAATCCATCAAGAAATGAGATAATTTTGGGATGAATAGAGGTCAAAGATCTGAAGATTTTCCTGACAACCATTATAAATAGAGACCCTTTGGGAAATCAAAGGGGATGCTAGAGAATATATTTAGGAGTTTTTCTTTTTCTTTTCTTGTTAGAGAGTTTTAGTGTTTTTTATATAGGATTCTTATTTAAGTTTAGTTCTTTTCTTTTACTATTCAAACAACATTTAATTTCAATTGTCCTTACTTTCGAAGTCTTGTTATTTACATTCAGTTATTCAATACGAGCAATTGATTTCAATTCAGTATTTATTTTTCTACATTTAATTATGTCTTCTTTTAGTCTTTATGTCATTTTTACTATCATGAGTGAGTAGTATTCTTCTGGATGATTGAAGGAAGGAGTTCCAATCCTATGAGATAGGGTGTATGCCTTAAACTAGGGTTGATTGAACAGGTTATGCTTTTGAAAATCTAATTGGTTTGCATATGTCTCTATTATTTGTATGCAATTAGTCTTGGTACAAATAATTGTGGTGTTTCCTGCAACCTTTAGAGTACCGATTCTTTCGTCATAAGCTATTTTTCAATTGTTACATTTCTTTCCAAGTTTTTAGTTAAAAATTATTTGTCTATAGTAGTTTAAATACGAAAGCAGATGAGTTATAGATTTAAGGTAGAAACTCTTATTTTTAGGTGGGATGAATTTTGAAAATTATCCTTCTTTTACACTAAATGACTTTCAATTTCATTAGTAGTTAACTCTCAAAATTCTCAAACTCAAAGAGGTTTGTCATTTTATTTTTCACTGCCTTGGATTCCAATTCTTACCCAGAGGAAATGACCTTGGACTTTTGTTCAAGTTACTACACGATATCTTTCTCTTACGCTTCGAAGCTTTCATGAAAATACAACCCCTTTGGAGGACAAGCATTTTTAGCGTAGTTGCCAGGGAAGCTAACGGTAATCTAAAGCAATACAGAGGTATTCAGGTAGGTCTTGTGATTTTCATCATGAGCCCAAGCGCATATCTCTGTTGTAACTTATTTCTTTCTTTCTTGCAATTTTAATTTTTAGGTTTAGCATATTTGCATGTGGGGTCGAGACCAAGCAAACCGACTTGTTAGACTTAGATAGGTCTTACCACCAGTTTTAGGTATGGCTGTCCAGAATAACAACAATGACATTGATTCAGCAATGATTGTACTAGCGGGGGGTAATGGTGGGAATAATCTGATTATAGTTATGTCTGGTCAGACTACAAAGGATTATCTTTAACCTACCCGCTCCTCCTCTCCATCTTGCATTGTACTTGCAATGCAAGCACACTAATTCATTGTTAAACTAGGGATGCTCTAATTTTTCCCTCAATTCCATAAAATGGTAAGTGAATATTGTTATCTCCATCTCAAGTAATTTGAGGAAGTAGTTAGTACATTCTTGGAACAAAATGTATGAGAAGAAATGGCTAGAATGAAACTTTTCATTTTTTCACTTAAAGATAAAGTAAAAACTTGGCTAAATTCATTGAAGCCAAGAAGATCTCTACTTGGAATCAAATGCAAAAAGAATTTTTGACTAAGTTCTTTCCCATTCATAAAGGTACTACTTAGAAAAAACAAATTCAAAATTTTGCCGAGAAACCAAATGAGTAAAGTTTTAAAAAGCTCTTAAACTTCATTCCGCATCAAGGCTTTGAACCATGGCCGATGGTAACTTTCTTCT